AAAACAGACCGTAGTCGGTTACTGATAGCTATGGAGAAATTCGCGAATGCACCTCAGTGTGAATATCTGGTCCGCACACCCACGTTCAGCACGAAATTCTGCTTGGTTGGGCCTCGTCCTTGAGTCACGCACAGCCTGGATTCGCCTGAGAAGGACAATAGCAAAGATCTTCGCAGCAACGTTCATGTAGCTTATGCCGCAGAAGTTCTTGCATCTTGTCTTATTTCCCTTCTTGAGGATAGGTACAAAGATGCCCGAGGTCCACTCATCAGGAGCAACCTTTTCTCTCCACGTTTGATCAATCATCTCATGGAGCCAGGACGCCAGAACTTTGATACCAGACTTGTAATTTCAGCGAGTATGCTGTCCTCTCTGGGTGCCTTGTTTTTGCGTAGCCTTTATACGTCATCGGAGACTTCGTTTTCTTCTTCTTCTTCTTCTTCTTCTTCTTCTTCTTCTTCTTCTTCTTCTTCTTCTTCTTCTTATTCTTCTTCTTCTTTTTCATCGTCTTTGTCTTCCTCATTAGATGGATGTCTTATGACATTGCACTGGTTAAAGAGCGAAGAGACTCCGCTGCATAGGAGAGCAAGTGCGTGATGGCTTGCGTAAAGAGGTTGAGATGTTGCTTGAAGTGATCACGCAAGCGCTCGATCTTGGTCGAGTTGTCAGCAATAAAGCTCAGTGTTGAGGATTTACCACAGACTTGACGGATACGTTGGTAGAGTTTTCGGGTATCAGCAACGTCTGAGGTCTACCCCATGGAGGTGGCTGTTTCAACGAAGTATTTCTGCCGGCTATCCCTAGCCGATTTTTCCGTCATACTGCGGAGCTGGAGGAAGGAATAATCATTATGGAACGCGAATCGAGCAGTTTGGGCAGGCAACTGCAATATTCTTCCGTCGATCCAGTCAATGCGGCGTCACTGGGTATATCCATGAATTTTTTCAGCTGCCCCATAGACTGACGTTTTCAGTGGCGACCACTGACTACTGCCTTCCCCATCGACTCGGGTCGTAAAACAGGACCGGATTTCTCTGCTCAGGGACTCGATGGTGTTGGTTTGGCGCATTTTTGCGAATGTCGAGGCGTCTAGGACGTGGCATTTTGGCGCGCATGAGGGGTGAACTTTCAAGCGTGTTCGAACGAGGACATAGTCCGACCCTATGGGCGTTACCAGTCTCGGTGCCACACATCGATCTGTTACCGCGAACCCAGCTGCGGAACCTAGAACCCGACTAGAATGTAATCGATGCGACTGGCCGTATGACAGTCGTTTAAGTACCAAGTAGGCAGGTGTTTGTGGCGATGCTGGAAACAGGTATTGGTGACAAAGTGTCAGTTCTGATCAGCAAAGTTCAACATTCTCTCACCCTTGTCACATCGCGAACCAAGCCCAGACGATCAACAAGGTGACTGTTGGAAAAATCGGCAGGTCCAGTTCAGCCACTACAGGTCCCGGTAACAACCAGCAGATCACAACGGGGGTGTCTTTCAACTAATGCTTGCTAGTGAGAGTACAAATATCTTTATCGAGCTGTTCGGCAGCTAATGCTGGTGCATACACGGAGATGACAGTGATGTTCGTAAAGTGACCCTTTAGTCGCACATAGGTCATCAGGTCATTGACTGGTTCCCAAGCAAGTAGCGTTTGTTGTGAGAGGGTGATCGCCACACTGTGTTTGCCGGAAGGGTCACGTGGGCCACTGTGGTATAGGATGAAGTGTGAGTTGACTCCTGAGATCTTTATGTCCCGAGCGCCAGAGTGGGGAATTCGGACTCAGACAGAGAACAGTAATCCACATTGTGCTGATTAACGCTGTGGCCGTCAGACTTTAGGTACCAGGGTCCAGGTACGTTGGCACATTCCAGCATCCAATACCTAGGTTCCGTTTCGAACCTAGCAGTCCAGCTCGCACACTATCCGCTTTCAGCAATGGATCAGGATTGCGGGACGGGTGGGTTCCCGCGGAGGCCGTAGCATGAATCGTAATGTTGTATTAGAACATATTTTCATGAGGTTTCTTGGGAATTATGAGTAGAGGAGAGTCCTCAACAGTCGCTCGGATTACTTGTCCGAGGTTGTCTCTACCGCTTTGGTCTAAGAACCCAACCACAAGACAGTGGTGGCAGGCAAACTTGACTAATGGCAGTTAACGATTGCCATGTCGCAATGCCGTCGTCGGGGTTTGCGACACTCTATATGGCTGTCGGCGTGCCGGACCCCAGCCCACTGCGCCCAGGTGCCACTGTTGCTGCCGGTCTGCGACTGTTTTTTGACGATACGCGCGAGTCTGCTTATTTTGCAGCTAACCTTCGCTGAAGAGTGTTCCACTCTCCGCCACCTTGGACGCGCCGGGTAGCGAGTAGCTAGGCTAATGTACAACCCGTCTTCCCAGGGTAATCCTTCTTTGTACAAACTCTTGCGTCTAGATCGTCTAAGCGTCCTCGAGCCGTATGCGCCTGTTCATTTCGGCGACTCATCCCATTTCACTCAGCTTGACTCCCTACGGCCGTAGGCCCTCCATGTCTTGGCTAATGAATGGTACCCGCTGAAGTCCCGACCCGATGATCTGGCCTTCAGCTTAACCGACTTTCTCGATTATGTACCACCTGTGTCACACTGTGATGGACCATGCATTGGTGGTCATCCCCGGGCGAGACGAGATTCTTTGTGCCCTGAATAGCGGACGACATCCCTGAGGGGAGGAGCAGGGCTGAAATGGGTAGATGTTGGCCCGTTTCGCCACCAGTCTACCAATCCACCCCCTCAATCCGAGTATGTGCAGGTTTGCAGCTAAGTGACATAATCCATTGTCTGATGGATCAAGTACACAGCTTCAGCAGCGCCCTCTTAAATCCTGAATTACGATTAATAGTTCAATAGTGAGGATCTCGCCAGTAGGAAACGCAAGTAATCAGACGTTGCCCTCCTCGTAGGTGTCTTTTGAATAAAAGTGCACAAGCCACCTAGGCTCACGCACACGGCAAACACTTTGCGAGTCAAAAAATGAGACACCTTCAGTTCAAAGGTCGATGCAACTTTGACTTGTTACGTCCCTAATGCCCAACCTCACTGCTGTCGAACCACACTAACAGATGGTGAGTGAGGAAACACTGAGGACACCCTCACCTCGGTGTTCGGAAGAGACTGTAGCTAAACAGCAGAGGGGTTCCTTGATTTGATTAGCGCCCTCCTCCATGACCTCTCATGCGTCAATAAACTGAGAGGCGACTGGCTTTGGAAACCAATTAAAAAGGCGCCCTATACTGTCACAAAACGCGTCAAAAACAGTTGGCATGGTTGTATGGTAGCCGAGTGACAGCGCCGGAAGGTCATCCTGAGCCTCACTTATCGAGACTACGGGAATAGGACCAGTTTACAACATAAGCGCACCTGACAGGCTGAAGTGTACAGGGTAAAGGATTATGGCGCTTAGCACTCGTGCCCTGGACTGGTTTATAGGAAAAACAATGATCCTCTGGATTGATCGCTGATTAGATAAATTGGATTTACGCACAGATAACGACTCTAAAACCACTTTCACCATGAACGATAAAGGCTTTGTCAGTTTGGAGCGGACATCAGGTCAAAACAAGATAGGAGACGTGTCCCGAGAAACAAAAAAACCACTGACAAAAATCTTCATAAATGCGTTTTTAGTCAAGATTGAATTTCTGATCTTACTGAACAAGACTGCCCAGAAACTCCTACGTCGTAGCGTGCCGACTATTTCCAGGTATCTATAGTAGACTTTGCTAGGGAAACAGTTCTGCCTAATAGCAAAATTATTTTCTAGACTGTTCGAATTCATAAGTGTTCTGAGAAATAATTGTTGCGAGAGGACACGGGTATGTGTGCTCCTCTGAACTATCCTCCTTCAAAGTGTATTTCCATCAGGCATACGGCGCAGGTATGGTGTCCAAATTTTCGCATATTCAAGAACGCAACGTTTCCTCACCTAAAGGGCTCTCTTTGCCACCACTCTCGCGCTGTAGGTGGCCTCGCGTTATAGTTCACTAAACAAAAATTCGTAAATTACGAATAGATTCCGGCAAAGATCTCCTACTCTAGACTTCGTTCTCCGAAAGCACTTTTAAATAACATTTTTATCGCTAAAACAATTATAGACCCATAAAGAACAGCAAGATGTCTAGGACGAATACTGCATTAAGAAATCAAAATCAATAAATTAGGGTTCGGTTGAATACTCGAATGCTCAAGCATACTGCTTAGAGTGCTCCAGTTAGGTACTGACGAATAATAATTTTTCGGCATTAAATGTTTTGAGAAATAAAGCAATGACGAACAATTTATTACTCTTTCCATAAAAGGATATTCAGTTAATAAGCGGATATAGTAAAATGTTAAACACATACTACGTTTTTGATGCAGTTCTGGGAAACGTTCGATGGACATCCGTCGTTACGACACAACAGTTCGACTGCCCTTTCCGACGATATCCACCGTATGGTCCACAGCGTGATGGAATCAGGGACTGTGGCTTGCACGGGAATTAGACTATAGTTATGGTAGACTTGCGCCGCACTAGGCGCGCTCTCTTCTCCTTCCCCACCCCGGTACAGTGTCATGGCAGAGTTAGGAAGGCCGGGGACGGAGGATAACACAGGTGACTGGCGTGGCGAGAACCGCGTCTGGGCGTTCCACCATATCCCCTGGTTGTCAACTTGCACTGACCAGGATTTTATATAACAAAAAGAAAGGGGGCGGTTCGGACGCAAATTGCTGTGGCGTGAGCCTGCAATTGGTCTCACCATCGCACCCCAATGCTGACATCGGTTTTAGATGCACACCCCCAATAACGGGATCCGATCTAACCCTCGTGATGGTCCAGCGCCACTACTGCGTGGCCCATTTTAGGGACGGAACGAACAGATTTATTGGAGAACACGCTCCATGCGCGTAAATATTCTAGCCAGACCTTGCTTATGGAATCCGCGTCGCCTGCAGGACGGACAGCCAACTCCTCAGTTATCGGGCGATGCACTTCGAGTCGCGTGTATCCACAACTACCATCCATGAACTTCTCTTCGCCGACGACTGCGCTCTCAACGCAACTACACAAGGAGACATGCGAAGGAGCATGGACCTTTTCGCCGCCGCCTGTGACAACTTTGGCTTAATCATCAGCACGGAGAAAATGGCGATTATGCACCAGCCAACACCCAACGTTGTCTATAGTTCACCTCACATCAACGTGAGTGGCGCCCAACTGCAAGTCGTGGACAACTTCACCTATCTGGACAGCACCCTCTCTCGCAACACCAAAATCGACGACGAAATGGTCCACCGGATTACCGAAGCCAGTCAAGCCTTCGGTCACCTGCAGACCATCCTCTGGAATCGTCATGATCCCCCCCTAAGCACTAAGTTCAAGATGTACAGGACAGTCATCCTGCCGACGCTGCTCTATGGAATGGAGACTTGGAAGGTGTACACGAAGTAGGCGTGAAGGCTTAACCACTAACACCTCAGCTGTCTTCGGTGAATACTAAAGCCGCGATGGCAGGGCCGGGTCCCGGACACGGGCGTATCGGAACGGACAAGAACCCTCAGCATTCATGCCATACTGAGACAACTGCATCTGGGCTGAAGCGGCCAGCTCGTGCGGATGGACCACGAGCAGCTACCCAAACGACTCTCCTATGGAGATGTCGTCCAGAGTTCTCGCCGACAAAGAGGTCAAGTCCGACACTGCAAGGACACTCTGACGACTTCCTTGAAGCGCCTGGAGATCAAGCCGGCCAACTAGGGAGACCTCGCCTGGGACCGACCGGCCGGCCTGCAAGAGGACATTGAAGACCAGCGCAGTGACCTCCGAAGGCAACCGCGTAACCGCCACCAAAGCCAAATACAAAATTTAAAAATCTCAACTGCTCCCACCTCTCAACGCCAAAGCTCAGTCGTCGCCGGCCTGAACACAACGTCAGCGAACGTTCCGGGCACTAATCGGTTTTAGTGGACATCTTCAAACCAACTGCAGCACCTGGAGGACACCGCCTGGTGTTTCCCGTCCAACTCTGCCTTGACCTCCATATTCACAATCAACCCTAAACGCGATCCTTATCCTCCATTGCCTTCCTCCACTGTCTCAACATTTGTTGCGGCGGCTCCTGCGCGCACCAACCCTGCACATAATCCTGACGCACCGTCAAACATCAACCTCACCGCCGCCAAAACCAGTGATGTTGACACAGTTCAAACCTGTCCCCATTGCGGTCGCACATTCACCCCACGCATCAGCCTGATTGCGAATCCCTCGCACAGAGACTGTATGAACAGAGCCTGGGTCACCAACCTACACTCGTCTCATCTGCTTCAACTGCCTCCACTGTCCTCGCACATTCCTCCATCGCACGGGCCTATTACGTTACATGCGCATAAGTGAAAACCTGCGGTAGACAACCACCGGCTACGTCACACCATCACGCTTTCCCCCATCGGCACCTGCACCACACAACAACACCACCCATCACAAGCACTCGATTGCACCTCACACGGAAGTGACTAGTCTGCTCCTCGGCTCCTTCTCTATGTGGCCCCTTTGCTATATGTGTGATCCGAGTCTGAGACTATCACGGTGCACCAAGTGCCGTGGCTCAGATGGTTGCATTCTGACACCTCAACTCAGCCCACGCAGACTGTCCACTTATGTGTGTTTGTGTGGAGTGGCGGACCGGTTGGCCGAGATCCAGGCTGTCACGGTTCCCTCTTGGCGTGACCTCTAGCACTCTCACACATGTGAGGAGTGTTTTGTGTTCTTATGAGTAGTGCCCCTCAGTCTACGACAGACTGGTCACTCAGCCTTTGAAGAGTGACGATGGACCAGGCTAAGTGCAGGGATGTGTCTTACCCTTCTGGGCTTTGGGGATTGTGTACGTCTCCTATGCCATGATTCAGCAAACCATGACCATCGCCGTCTGGTATGCACTGGCTGTTCTCAGGCATCTGGTTCCCCGACAGTGGAAGCGTTTGCACTCACGCTGGGTAAGCAGGCCGTGTGCATGGTTGTCCAGTGACTTCTCTCACCCTCTCCTCTTTCTGACCCACTTTTGTTGTTGGTTAAAGTCCTGGTCGAGTGTTCGTTGTGGGCCAAGGGGCGTGGTATTACGCCTAGGCGCGGGCCTCGTCGTGCCAGCCACCTGCACCCTCTCCTACCTCCGGTCTTCCTAAGGATGTCTTGACACCGGGCACAGGTGGGGGAGGCGAGAGTGCGGCACATGTTGCGCAAGTCTGCTCTCACTCTAAACTAATTCACGTGCAAGTCACGGTGCCCGCTCTCACCTTGCTGTGTAACACACGGTGAGCATCTTCGTGCTCGACGGTCGAACTGGCATAGCACGCATGTGGTTCCACGGCAGTTATGTACCATAAATACTGTACTCCTTGTGCCTCCACCATCCTTATCTGCGACTGCCTCAGATAATGGATTAGAGTGGGAATCCGATTTGACAAAGGTACTATACTGTACTCCTAACATACATACTAGCTAAAAGCCCAGACACCTGTTGCGTGGCGGCTGCGAGGGGTTCGGCTGCTCAATGGGTCCCCCAGCGTGTCCTATGCGGTTTCTGGCATATGAACACCAGAGAATGATCAGGTGAATAATTTCAGAAATTATTCGTTACTTGACATGGAACCAAGTCTCCGGGCCATGACTTTTTAGGGCCAGACCCGGAATTTAAATGAATATTTGAGTCGACGACAATCGTCTACGATGGGTGGCGATCGGGAACCGACAGAACAACAAGCCCATGACTCAGTGAATAAAGGCGCTGGACTTCTAACCAACAGGTCGCGGGGTCGAGTCCCAGGTGTTCAACACTTCGGGGTTGGGTATGGCCGGCTGACGACGGCTAATAAGCCAGAGATTGTCATTCCAGGCCACCTTGTCTTTGTCAGCAATAACATTCTGCCTTTAGCATGCGCCACTACGCGGCTGCTGGGTGGGCTTGGAAGAGAGAGAGCCCATAAGGCACAACGGTACTAGTGAGTTCCGTAGGAAACATTAATGAGCGTCCCTCTACCATTATATGTACATATATATACATGTATCTTATTCATTGTCTCCCTAATAAGAAGAAAAGGCAAGATCATTGGGTAGAATCATATTTGTGCTGACGTTTCTGCGACTTTTTTCATCATCAGATTACTGGTGCGATAATTGTCCTGTATTAGAATTGTGCTCGACGGAAGAACTTTAACACACCTGCTGGATGCTGACTAGCTTTGAAATTTCCGAGGTCGGACGATGGCGGGCCCGCGCCACCTCTGTCGCCTTTGTGGCTGTTGTATTTGTAACCACCCCAGAACTCGTGTGTAAATCCCTCTACTCATCTGTTGGACGGAGCAGTCATTGCCGTCCACGCTAGTATTAGGACTGCCGGGCACATCAGCATATCTTTTAGAGGATCATAATGGTATTTAAGTTGTCGAAGACAGTTATGCCTACTCACACTTCCACTGGAGTATGAGGCGAATTTCCGAAGTTGCTGGCAGAGAAGTGCCGAATGGCTCGCTTCCTCCAGGTCGACCATCAGTTGCCCTTAGAGTCCATCTGCACTTTTGAGGCTGTACCTCTACGGCAGCGGCGAAAGTACCCGCCCAACAGTCCTAATACTGCCGCATACGAACCAATGTGCAGTTTGCCCGTGTTCATGCTGCCTGTGCGCGTGTGAATTCTTCGCACTCGCGGGGTTAAGGTGTGCTCATCTAGTTCACCTGATTGTGCTACCGCAGACCCAGTTCAGGGTCGATCTGCTGCGGTTTCAACGTGATGGTGAAAGTGGTTGACCTTCGGTGCGCACGTGAGCAAACGGATAGGCACCACACAAGGAATGTGTACACCAATGTCGGAGTGGAAGGATGCGACCACTTCTGCACCAACATCAGTCGCTGCAGTCACAACTTTATGTTCCCTTTCCGTTCGTTTGGAGCGTCAGTGCTAGGGTCCAAGTTATTCAATTACTTTCTGGAGGATTCACTCTCGAAGGACATTTCATGGCTCAGCTTCGGCCAACTCGGACTGCAGCTGAAAGAACTATGCCCTAGCGTGGTAGGTGTAGTTCTAAAATTTGGACTTAACGAAGTGTCGGTAATCAGGAGAAAGATTCAAAGACAGATAAGGCCACTTCTGACTTGTGAACAAAGAACTTCATGGACTCATTCACTCATCTTGTTTAAGAATGCTCGATCAGTCACCCTGACCTTAATAATGACAATTTTTGTCTCAACCGCAACCATGTAAAAATGCAATGTCTAATGGTACGGGGCGCTCACCGATCGTTCATAAGGAACTCACTCGTTCCGTTGTGCCTTAAGGGCTCTCTCTCGAGCCCAACCAGCAGCCGCACAGCGGCGCATGATACATAGGCAGAATGGTATTACCGACAAAGACAAGGGAGACTGGAATGGCCATTTCTGGCTTATTAGCCGTCGTCAGCCAGCCATACCCAAGCCCGAAGTGTGGAACACCCGAGCCTCGAACTCGCGACCTGTTGGTTTAGAAGTCCACGCCTGCCCACAAAGCGTCGACTGAGGAGGGTATATCGACTCCACTAGTGAATTCTTTCGATTGTAGTTCTTCACGGTTCTTATTCGACTTTATTTATCGTCATTTCCGGTATGGTAGAATGAATTGGTTAAATGTTTACAAAAACTACTCCGCCGAAGGTGGTGGGGAGACGGACGTGAAATATATTCGTTCAGCTGAACAAGTTCTTTACGCGTCTTAGCTTTCAGGTTCCTGAAAACGTCCATCATCGATCAAATAACAATGTACACATACGACTAAGAAAGAGGGGTGTACGACTCGATGCATTTATCTTCGAGCACCGATAATCCCGCAGCTCGGCAACCAGATCAAAGTCAGTAGTTCAAACAAACTTTACAACACCCATCTGATACATACTGAACCACATTGATTTCCTGTAGAAGTAAATGAGGCCATTTGATACCCGCTGCATTCGAAAAACTCTCAGACCTTAGAACGCACCATCAATGGATGTACTAACACACGGCTCTCTGGGTACTGCGGTTCTCCACACAAAATTCAACAGTTGAACTTATCATAACGATTACCTCTTCAAAGTTGAAAAATCCCAGCATTTGTTAAGTGCGAGAACCTGTCAACAAAGGAATGTCGGCCTGTCATGAGCTATGAAGAGCTATCTGACAAAATTAGGACCTCATATCCAAGGTGGGTCAGTTTAAAACAAACAATGCTGTATCAGCAAAAGGGAGTGCAGCCAGTGCTTCCCATCCACTACCCCCACACGGTGATCATCCTAGGCGTGCGCACAGGTTCTATGCGTGACGCAGCCTGTGCCTGCGATAAGACGAGCCCTCACTTCCTCTTCCTCTTCCTCTTCCTCTTCCTCTTCTTCTTCTTCTTCTTCTTCTTCTTCTTCTTCTTCTTCCAGCACACGCTCCATGCTCAGGATGGCG